GAGCCAAATGGACCTGACCAGACTTCCTGCCCCAGCAGACAGAAACAAAGAGCAGGGCAAGACTGGAGCCACCCCTCCCTGGTGCACCCTGAGGTCATTTTTGTCTTTAGTAGCCTCTCATTTGAGAAAGAGGATCCTACACAAGTGTTTAGCACCTGCGCTGCCTTGCAGCAGGACCTCACAGAGCTTGACCCCAAGCTGAGTATCCAGCCACCTCCCCCTGCTTTGCTTGAGGCAGTTTTAAGGGAGAAATAAATATGCAGTGATCAGTCCAGCTACTTTGCCTCAAAGACGACTGGCATCCAGAGCCGATCATTCACCCGCCTGCCCTGCAGCCTCCCCTGCTAGCACTTTGGTTTAGTATGAATCCTGGCATCTGCAAGAACATTTCTGGCAGTGCAACCTTCCCAAGCTCCTCTCGCTGAGCACCACAGCCTCTCCAAGCTCTGCTCTTACACAGGAGCATCTGCCGATGAGCTAGTTAAAGGATTTACTACTCATTCTGATTCTCCACAGAAGCTGTTCCTGAACTTATCCACCAGTTTCTCTTTGAGGTTTCTCCTTTGAGGACAGCTGAAAAGCCTCCCTGACCCTGCAGGCAGTCTTGGCTCTCTTTGGTCTTTCCCATTTTCCTTGGCCATGCAGCACATCTGTGCCCAGCCCTACACCTCTCACCCTTCAAGCAGTTCAGCCTTACTCTCCCCTGGGAAGTTGCAAAGCGGGGTGGTATGTGGGAGCAGCCCCGGGACAGGGGCTGTGGGACTTTTATCTCAGGAGACTTCAGAACTTACTTGAACACATCCCTGAGCTGCCTGGTCCAGATGTGAGGTCATCACTTCTCAGAGTAGGGCTGACTGGAAATGTGAGACCTTCCCAGCAAAAAACCTCCTGGGGCTGTACAATTTGCCCATTATCAGTGAAACCCACCTGGATCCATATCCCCTTTGGCTTTTCCCTGCCAGAGCCATCATGCTCTTTCAACACTCTCAGAGGGGTTTTTACTCCCCATTTCTCATCCAGCTCTTCAGATCTCTCCTCTCCCCCCACCTGCTCTGGGCAGCTCCCCTCCAAGCATTTTCAACACCAAAGCTGCTGTTCAAAAGTTAACCCTAGATGCTTTGACACAAGCTGGCTGTATCACATCCACCTCTGTTTAGAGGGGCACATGCTGGTCCATGTTGTTTCCTTCAATCCCACTGCTTTCTCCTCCTGGAGGAACAAAGGTCACCTACAGGGACTTAAGACCTGCCACAGCCATCTCAAGCTTTCTCCTCCCTTGGCCATGGCTTGGGTTGCAGTTCCCACCCATGCTCCTATTATCAGCGCCCTACATAGCTGAAAGTCAGCAGAGCTGTAAAGTAGTGGCAGACTTGGACTGTTTTTGGAACAAGGCAATGTGTTTGCCCATGAAGATAAGGAGCTGGTGTCTTGGGAAGAGGCATGATGATAGTAGATCGCACAGGCTAATTGTGCAAGACATCACAGAGCAACTGCAATGAGTTTCATGCCCAAGGCCTGCCCTGGAGCATCTCTGTGAATCTCCATACTCAAGGATCACAAACAGAAAGCTTCTGTTTAGCACTGACTCACAGCTGCCACTGCCAGCTCTACCCCCATCCCACGCCTGGCACCTCTCGCTGCCCTGTGTCACACCCAGCTCTGCCACAGGGCCCCAGGCTCCAGACAGGGTTTATTGTCATTATATAAAGGGCTCAACAACTCCGTATCCATGACCTCAATGGAGGCACCCAACTTGTGCAATGGCACTAGCAGTCTCCACTACCTTAGCAAGCGAAGATGAGGGGATGCAAGCACACTGGCAAATGGTTGACAGATGTATGCACCTACCTTCTCTCCATGACCCAGTTGCTCTCTCTCCATTACTGCTTTCATGCCTAGATGTGGTTGCTAGTCAAAAAGAATTAGTTGGAGGATTAAATTCCATGCATAGGAATGCGTTAGCCAAGAGAAGGACATGAGGAGCCATCCCTCCCTGCAGATCAACAGCTCTATCCACAGTCATCTGGGTGGTACGCAGCCAAACCAGGTGGCACAGCACCTCTTGGATTTGGTTTAAAGTTCACAGAGGGCAACAAACAACTGAGCCCTGCCCTTTAGGCAGTCTCCATTTCAAGGCATCAGGTCTTACCTGTACTTTCAGTATGAAGGACAAAACTTGAGAGGAGGTTACGGTTCCCATTCCACAGAACAGTCCCATCCTTTGGGTGCAAAGACATCCAGCTTCTCACAACAAGGAGAAGAGGAGTAAGAGGTGAGATTAAGCATGACCAAGTTTCCTTCTACAGAAGGGCATGGACAACTGTGTCTGGGGTCACAAAAGCAGGCAGAAACCGTTATAGAGCAGCGGAGGCTTGTGACAAGTGCTGTAAGACACTCGAGCATCTCCGCCAATTGAAGAGCAGTCTCTTAGAGACACCCAGGCTGACTGTACATCTCCATGCAGCACCAAACTCATGGGGAATGACAAGTTTTATCCCAGCTTTCCAGGTTGTCCCATCTCTCCAGGGCTCAGCTCGTGTTTTAGCATTTTTTTTTTTTTTACTTCATGTAACTCTGCTCAAGCAGGAAGCTGACGTAGAGATCTCCAGAGGCCTCTTTGCATCCACAAGCTGCAGCAGATCACCCACAACCCCTGATTCCTATGCTTGCCTCTCCCAGCATGTAACACACCTCGCAGCGCACCAGCTGCTTTCGCAGCAACTAAGCAGGTGAAACTAAACCATGCAGCAGACTGAGCTCAGACACAACAGGACAGAAAAACTTTTTCTCTAACCTTAAACCACAAATCCCCAAGGAAGAGCTACAAAGTGCTTTTAAGATGAGCCCAGAAACCTATTCATAGCTCTGCTTGGCACCAACAGGAAGGATAACTCCATGACTGGTGGTGGTATATCATGCCTCTTCTCCCCTCACCAGGTTCTTCATGCTCCACAGGCTAAAGGCACTCACCCCATCCCATCAGGCACAACTTCCCCCGATAATTGCACAGTTCAGCCCACAGGCAATATACCTGAAGAAAAACCCTAACCCCCTACCTATGGTCACCAATCTCTGCCCACCCTAGATATCTGCCACTCTGTTCCAGGCTTTAAAAAGACCTGGTGTATGAGAAGGCATTTATTTTTCCTAAGTGTACTCATTTATTCAAAACTACCTCCTTCTGCACCTCCAGACCTCACTGCATCTGGGTCCTTGGACTGTCGCAGCTGGCACGGGTCAGTGCAGGTGCTCAGCTTGGCTGAAGAGCCCTGTTCTTCCTACCTCCCATTAAGTTTTACTCATTTCATAAAGTGTTGTGTCAGACCGTTTGGAGTAACATTTGATATTTCATCTATCTCATCCCAGAGAGAAAATGAGGCAGGGGTAGTATCAGAGAGCATTCAGAGCAGGGATAAGGACTGACTGAGCACCTCTGTCTTTGGGGTAGGTGGGGAATCCTAAAGGTGGAAAGGGTGAATGATAGGTATTAGCTGTGGACACCACCACAACAGCAGTACCCCTCTACTTTGCAGAGATGCTCAAAACCAATGGAGAGTGGCACAAAGAAGAATAAGAGCAAGATTTAAGGAATCTGTATCCCTACAAGACAACCCCATGAAGAACCTTTGCAGAGCCTGGATTCTCCCTGATGCTAGCTCTGTATTTCTGCAGTTCCCTGCATAGACCCCAAGCCAACCCTTCTCATGGGCACTCCAGCAGTGTGCAGCAGCCTGGACAGCACAGCTGCAGGTCTGGAGCTCAGGGAGGCTGCCCCACAGCCACGGTGGTGCAGAGCTGAGCAGCAGAGCCTTCCTCCTAGCCTCACCTGGCACCTGCCAGGCCCTGGGAGAGCGCCTGGGCACACAGTCATGCTCCCTTCCTAGGGAGCGTTAAATTGGTAATTATGTGACACATCACGGTGAGCAAGCACCACAGACATCTACATCTCCCAGCTGCCTCAGGCTGGGAAATAGACACCCTAGAGGTGCTCAACACACAAAACCACATCAAGGTCTTCAAAAGTCACTCATGCCTTTCATCACCTAGATGGAACAAGAGCATCAATCCCAGAGAGGTGGTTAAGAGCTCTCCTGTGACAAGAGAGGAGATTCCACACTTCCCAGGAATGCACAGGCTTACTGTACAGGGCAAACCTGCCTCCCTCTCAGCCCTCAGAGTCAAAACACATTGGAGTAAGACCACTACTGCAGCAAAGACAAGTCAGTTCCAGTCATTTATTCACTGCGGGATTTGAAGTACACTATGACTTGGTGAAGCTTCCCAGAAAGACAAGAGGAAGAATACTTGGTACAGTGGATTTATATAAAAAGAGTTAAATAGATAAAATAACATGGTAACCTCTCACTCTTGGTCAAGACAGAGCAGACAAGCCCTAAGCCCAGGTTAACATCAACAGCTTCAGTCCTTCCAACCAGTCATGGTTGGAACTTTTATGGTCCCATATCCAGGGGACAGGAAGGCATCTAGCCTCACAGTTGAGGCAAGGGGTGTGCTTCTCAGACCAGCTCTTCAGGAGCTCAGCTTCAGATGCTGTGCAGAGCCTGACTTCCAGTAAGGTTCAGTCTTGTTGAGCATGTCTGGAAAGCCAGCCTCAGCTTTGGTGTACAAGTGTAAAAGCAGCTCTTCTGAAAAGGAGCCTTCAAGTACTTCAGGATCAGCCACAGGTAATGTGTTCAAGCCACCTAGAAAGACTGGTAGAGCCAAGACACAGGGCGGCACCCCAGACTGTTGCCTTTCCTGCACTAATCCAGATTTAAACCACATTTTGAGGCTGTTCCTGAACTGCGCACAGTTCAGTCAGGCTTTTGCAGGACATGGCTTTGCAACTGTATTAAGACAGTCTCCTCCTATTCTAGGTCTCCACATTTTATGCAAGAAAAAAATCCCATACCAAAAAGATTAATCATTTCTCTTCAGTTTTCAGGTTTCCAGGAACTGTTCACCTTCTGTCGAGAAGGAAGGTGGTGTCTGAAGCCATGTGCCTGCAGAACAGCAAGCAACACAAGTAACTCCAGAGTGAAGAAAGCCCATGTTAATGATATAAGACTGTTTTCCTACTGAGACCAAATTTAACTTAATCTAGGAGATCACTGTATCTCTCTAGAGTCTGCTTCTCCAGTTCCAACAGCTTTTGGTAAAGTTTCTCAGCAGTTTCTTCATCCACATCCATCTGGAAGACAATAAGAGCAGCACTGTGAGACCATCACCTTGCTTGTATCTGGCACAGATGCTGAGGGCAGCTCTAAGGATAGGCAAGGCACATCTCCAGAGCTTCTATATTCATAAAGAGGCAATTAAAGGCATCTATCACCAAGGCACAAGCCAGACATATTTCAGAGAAGCATTACATGCTCATCCAGTTCTAGCCATCATGTCCACTGTCTTCCAGGCTCTAGCTTGAGCTAGAGTTACTCTAGGAAACCTCACAGATAACCCCACAACCCTCCTTGTTGCTCAGAATTCAGTATGCATCTTCTTTCCACTTCAGCCACAGGACACATTTGGCACCAACCCTTTCATGCAAGGCAGAGAGTAGACCCCCAGCCAAGTCCTCTGCAGAAAAAAGCTGCTCCTCTATTTACCTTTCTGGGCTCCACATAGTTCTTCCCCAGACCAGAAGTACAGCTGTGGTATTTGACAAGCACATCCAGGTTCTCTACCTTCTGTTTGAAGAGCCACACCTAAGAAGAAGAGGACAAAGTTGTGCAAGCCTAGTGCACACTGTCCCAGCAGAGCCTGCACTCACGGACCCAACTACCAATGGACACAGAACATGCCATGGGTGCTTTCACCAAGCAGGAGAAGATTGTATCTACAGAAGAAATTCCAAGCTTGGCTCCCCTCAGCTATGACCAACCTGAGCCAACAGTAAGCCATGTTTATGTCCCAGTGCTAAGCCACTAAAGCAGTTCAGCATGGCTAAACTTGCTCACTGCTGTTCTTGATGTGCACTGTGCCCTGCATCACCCACCTCCACCCTGTGCCTGCATGTCTAGGGCTGCTTGACTGCCAACAGGCAGAGCAGCATTCTCCCTGACTGAGACGGAAGGAATAGTGTTTTTCTAAAAATCATTTTATGGGCACCTGCTAAAGGTCATAAAGCACCACCCAGCAGATCAGCCCTGGTCACCGCTGGTTCCCCAGAACCCACTGCTGTGAGCTACTCAACAGAAATACAGCACCCACCCACAAAGCATGTGAGAGACTTTGTTTATGCCAACAGACCCTAGAAGAACTACCCACAAAGAAGGAATATTAAAATCAAGTTTTGAGCTACTTACATGAGCTTCTGCTCCATTATACGGTGTCAGAGTGTAAGTTTTGGCAAAAAAACGGATCTAGGGGAAAAGAAATGCGTGACAGAATCTGTACTATGGCCCAAGGTTTCTTTGGCAAGCCCTCCACAGCCCAGCCACACCAACTAATCTACACCAGGGCTAGAAGTGCTTCTCAAAGTTGACCACAGGAAACATTGCACACTTATGAGTAAAACATCCCTCTATCACCACAAACTATTTTCTGGAGCCACCCATCAGATCAGCCAGCCTCGCTCCCTCCTCCTACACAGAGCTCACACCAAAGCAACAGGCCACACACAAGCCTTGCAGGCACCTCTTCTTGAATGGTCTCAAGAGCACATATGGCAGAAGGCAGAAAGATCTGCAACACTCCTGGTGTGGAGGACAGCTAAGGTAGCATTGCCTCTCCACTGCCAGGAGAAATGGGATCCCGTCAGGAACAGCTGCTACCCCCTGGAGCAGCTTAAGCACAAATGCCAATCTTACAACAGGGGCATCAAGGCTCAAAGCAGGCAGTCTTCAGGGACAGAACTGTAGTGAACCTGAAAAGCTCAAGCCCAGAGGAAGAAAGAAGGCAAGAAATGTTTTAGGGAAGCAGAGGAAGAGGCAACAGAGATCAGCAGTCTTTGCCTTCTAGAGGGATGGAAAGAAGAACACTGAAAAATACAAAGTCTGTTATAGATGTCAAAGCACAGGGGCAATTAAGTACATTACAGCAGGGCTACCTCAACCCAAAACCAGCCAGGAGATCCACTTACCAACCACATGATGGGCATTAGCAGCTTCCACAGAAAAACTGGCAAAATTCTGTAGGTCATGTTAGACATAACAAGGCCAGGACAAACAACACTGGAATACAGACCCTGCAGAGAAGAAACCAAGTCAGTGTGCAAATGCACAACAGTTAAAGAATGGATCATACTCCTTCCCTCCTAGTACCTCTCAGCAAGAAAATAAAGGCGAGTATGGAGACCAGTTAATAGCAGGTACTCTTCTCTCTAGTTACCAGAGCCAGGCAGTGTAGCCACAAAGATGCAGTAATTTCCAAGAGGTCCAAACTGAAGACATCGATGCTAAATCCATGCCCACTGCAAGCCCATGAGACAGAAGGTGTAGCCTCCCAACACATCACCTCATCCTGCAGTCTGCATGCAGCTCAGTAGCAACAGCAGTCATCCCACAAGCTACAGCCCACGCAGATCAAAGGCTACCTCACCTTTAAGAGACGAGTTCAGCCTTCTAAGACTAAACAATTTTCTCCCAAAATATTTCAAAGGAGTGCAATCAGTACCACTGGACTAGGGCTGCAGTTTGCCAGCAAAATCTGGCAATTCCCTGTGACAGGGAAGGCAGGTGGCTTATACATCTTAGATGACAAACTTGAATAGCAGTATGGGGCCATCAGGAGAGAGCAGTGCCTGTGCCTTATGTTCATGAAGGCAAAGCTGCCTAAGCAGCCCTGCTCTGATAGACACCTGAAAAGAGGAGCAGCTCTTTGCTCTTTAAGACCAATCCTTTGGTCTAAGAGACAGCTATAGCCTACAAGGTAGGGACTGCTCCTAAAATCTGCTTTCAGAAGTTTTTTAGACAAGAACCCCAGAAGCAGTCTCCCTGGCAGACTCTCCACCACCGGGTTAGCCTCAGCCGTGTTTAGTTCATACGTGTGTGTTAAGGAACATATCAGATCACTATGAATGAATGCAACTTGGTAACATAATCGTAATGATAATTATAAATAGTAGGAGCTTAACAGGGTTTTTCAGGCATGCAAACCTCATCATCACCTGCTTATTAAATTTCCTGTTCAGAACCACGCTTGTTAGGTCAGTAGCATATTTAGAAGAACTGTATGATTCCTGCCCCTTGGCATGCTGATAGTCAGAAAGGCTGAAGGCAGACTCCCTGGCGTTGCTGGAAGAGGTCCAGATGAGTCGTGAGGGCTTCTCGTTACCGCAGAGTAGAGACTCAAGTTGACGAACCTGGAAAATAATCGTTAACTTATTTAAGGCAGTAATTTTAAAGTCTTGCAGTACAGCTTTGATGTTCTTAAAAGCCACAAGCTTATGTCAGCTTTCCTAGTCTTGGCCAATCTTCACTAAACTAGCCAAAAACAGCCACTGCTCAGGTATAGCTTCAGCCCAAGGTCCACCAGAAGCATTTAAAATCAGCCACCACTCGTTCACACAGCTCAGTTGAGCAACTCAGAATTTAATATAGCCAAATCTTGGTATTTGCCCTGGACAGAAAGAACTTAGATATGGTTTACCTCTATCCACTGACTAACTAGAATAACTTTGAGATTATATCAACCCTGGCAACAATGACTATCACCATTTATCGCTATTTTAACAAAACTTGAGACATTTGCCCTATGATTTGCAATCTGTCAGGCTGCAACCTGCATCAGCATCTGAACCTGTAAGACTGAACCGATGCATCAGTACCATCCATACCCACCCCTACCCACATCAGCCACCAGACCGAGGGCCTGACCTTCATACAGATCCTCACCAGGATAAAGTGCCCAAAGAGGTTGGTAGCAAACACCTCCTGCAGTCCATCTCCGTTAAGCCTATCTGTCTGGGTCATTACGCCTTCTGCGGTAGTCAGCATGTGAAGCAGCTTCCTGGAAGCCAAGGAGAGGAGTTAGAGAGAAATACTACTGGGAGGCATCTGCTGCTCCCCTCACTTCAGTGCTTCAGATGCATCCCCCACCTCACAGGCTCCACAGAGACTCCCTAGTTTCATCTTCAAGGGCTCCATTAATCTATGAAAAAGTGGCTGGGAATACAGAGTATCCCAGCCCCTTTATTTGCAAGTGTCTTAATACTGACTAGACCAGAAAAGAATCATCCCTTCCTTGAGTTCACCACAGTACAGTTCCATTAAAAAAAAAGTATTGTTCTTCCATTTCACAGTCAGATAACAAAACCAAGTTCTAGTGTGGAAATAAGCCTAAGACCATGCCCAAGTCAGATGAAGAAAACAGTCTACCATTTATGTTCAACACCCCAACAACTGTATTAGACTCAGGAGAAGTCACTTTTCCTCCCCAGCTCTATTTCCCTGTGTTGCTTATAGACTAATGATGCTTATCCCTATAGTGCTTATAGAAGAAGCATCAACTATTAGTTTCACAAAATACCGTGATCCACAGCTGAGTAAAACAGCAAAAACCTGCAGTGGAACCAAATCAACAGTAAGCAGACCAAGTAACAGCAATACACCCCACCAATACACAGTGCTCTTTACCCAACTCCCAGGGCTAGGCACTGCAGGCTTTGGGTGAACCCCCACCCTACCCCAGCATACAGTGGGCCCCACTCCAGGGATCAGAGGCAGTACAGGGTGTCTTGGAGCACCTCAGCACTTCACCCAGCTGCCCAGCCCACTGCACACACGGCCACGCATCCCATGGGGATGGGCTCCATGTCACACTGGGGAAGTGGGACAGGGTCTTCAGCCCTGGACCTAAGGGCACATCTTAGCTGTAACAATGCTGCCCGTGCCCCATGCTCCCTGTAAGCCATGGACCAGCTCCCCCAGCCCCTCCCGATCTCCTACCCAGTAAGGAGACCATGCCAGAGTGCCTTGAAGTTCACGTGTGGGTTGGGCATGATCCCAGCGTTGAGGTAGACAAAGTCCAGGCGCTGAAACCTGCACGGGGAAGAGCACAGGGATGAGGGGCAGGGGGAGGCCGGGCGGTGTCCAGGGGAGCCCAGTGAGGTGGCGTGCAGGCAGGAGGGGCCCAGCGAGGCGGAGGACGGAGATCCGGTACCTGCAGCGGAGCTCGCGGGCGGCACGCAGGACAGAGGCCAGGTTGCCCAGGTCCACCTCTACGGTGGAGACCTGGGCGGCGGGGTGGGTCGCCAGGATGAGGTCTCGCGCTTCTTCGCTCTTCTGGGCGTTGCGGCAGGCGATACAGAGATGGAGGCGGCC